CCTAATTAAAGCACAGGGTAGACAGAAAACTTCAGCTTCTGCCAAGACTCAGAGGTGATTCCTTCTTCTGAGGGGTGGAGAGGCAAAGGGGTCCTTACTCCCTCATCCACTCTGGCTGCTCAGTGCTGGCTGATGCTGCCGTGCAGAGCGTGGTCCTGGGGAGCCCCAGGCTGCCCGTGCCCACCTCTGCACCCCCTCTGCACCTCAGTAAACCCCCAGGGATCCTGCAAAGCCCACCTCAGGAGCCCCACATCCCCCCCCACGGGATGGCTCTTTGGAGGCACAGCGTGCAGAGGATGCCAATTAGTTAATAATTAAACATCTCGGTGCCCTGGCTGCCCCTTTGGTTTATCCTGGGGTCTGTGAGGGCCGCCAGGATGGCGGGACCCGGACAGAGAGGGCAGGATGGAGAGAGCCGGAGGGAGCAGGATGGAGGGACCAGGACAGAGAGAGCAGGATGGAGGGAGCAGGATGGAGGGACCAGGACAGAGAGAGCAGGATGGAGGCTTCAGGATGGATGGACCAGGACAGAGAGAGCAGGATGGAGGGAGCAGGATGGAGGGAGCAGGACAGAGAGGGCAGGATGGATGGACCAGGATGGAGGGACCACTGCGAGGTGGAGGGGAGCAGTGTCCCCAAAACAACACACTGGTCTGCTCATAAAATAACACCCCAGGGATCTCTAGGCCCTGTCTGGAGGGGAATCCTTCTTCTGCCTCTCATGAGAGCAGCTTCCACCAGCTCCTCTGCCAACCCTTGCTGCAGGACCATGCTCCTGCCAGGCTGAGTCCCCAGCACTGCTCCCCAGGAGGCCCCGCTTGCCCAAAGGTGGCCAACCCCTGCTCTTCAGATGCAACATCTCCACTTAGTTTTTCAGGGCAGAAGCAGAGCTGGGGCAAGGTGGGCAGGGCTGTGGAACCCAGCAGGAGGGTGGCAGCCCCTCGCTGTGCACGGTGGCTGCCTGCACCTTGGCTGCCTCCATAAGCCACGACACTAGAAGATGAGGAAGTCCATCAGCTTTGACAGGCACCTAGATAGGACATTACTGCCATGCTTGCACGTTCTCTGCTCATCCCTACCGCCAGCAAGAGACAACTTTTTCTTAAAAATAGGCCTTGAAAAGCTAAAGATAGGTAAGGAATGAATATGGAGACATCTCCTCACCCTTACTACAGGACGGCTACCCCTTAGCTCCCTCTCACCCAAAGCCACAGGTCTGGAGGTGCCAGGCAGGCAGCTGGCATGTCCTGCCTCCTGGGGTGCTGCCAACAAGCTGGGAGCTACAGGGCATCTCTGGTCTTGGCCTCTGCCCTGTAATGGCACCAAAGAGTCACATCCACCTTTGGAAAGAGGGAAGGATGAATATTCTGATCCCTGAAAGGCTATATCACAACCATGCACCGTCTTGATCGGATTTGCTGTCTTACTAGAGGGAAATCTCCTGGTCTGGGAGCACTGGAGAGCCCACAGAGCGAGTGCCCTCTGCCAGGGCTCCTGTGGAGCTGGGGATGGTACCACTGTCTGTGGTTCTCCGGGGCTGCTCAGCCAAGACTGCTCAGCCCCTGCTCTGCCGGGGAGAGGGCAGCTCAGTCTGTGGGTTCCTCCAGCCTGTGGGCAACCAGAGCATCGGGCAGTGCCTGCTGGGACAGGGGCTTGCCACGACGTGGCAGCTGGCACCGAGCTCTGGGTGGAGACCCTCACCTCCTGTCACACGGGCTAGCAAAGAGTCATCCAAAGATGGGGACTTTGGGTCACTGCCTGCCTGGGTGTAGCCACGAGACGGGGGTTTCTGCACGTTGTGACTCCTGAGCGATCCCATCCCCCTCACTCCTCAGTCCTACCACTGGCAAACATGGGGCTGTTCCCTATTCCCCTTCACACACAGAAATTACCACTTCCTTCCCGTGACTCTGAAACTGATATTTGGCTCAGAGCAAACACCAAGAGGAGTAGAAGCCCTGGATAAGAAATCCGTATCTCCGTCGCACTGCTGGTTGAATTTATTAATATCTTAATTTTTGTTTACATTGGTTTAAGAAATATTTTTTTTTTTAAAAAAAAAAAGGACAAAACCCTCCAAAGAAGCTGTTTGATCGACTGATTCTCTATTTCATGTGAACTAGTTGCTATTCTGCTTAGAGATCCCTATGATCTGTGAACCCCCACGAGTACTGACGATTAAGGATGCAGAGATAGAGAAGCGTGTGGCTGGGGGAGGAACACGGGGTGAGGGGGGTGGTGGGATGGAGAACCAAATGTTGCATCTAGACAAACAAAATAAAACGTGTTGATTGGTTGATTGGTCGGTTTGTTAACAGGAATCAGGTGCTAGATGTGTAGAAAAGCCCTTTATCCAGAGATCTCCTCCCGTTGTTCCTTGTTCCTGCGAACTTCGGCTGCGTGCAGTTCCTGCAAAGACGGGAGAGAGGACACCAGGCTGACACCTCCTGCTCTTGCAACCTCTAAACCTTCTGCTCTTGCAATCTCTGTTTTCCTCCTCTCCTCCACACGGGATTTGCACCAGACAAAAAAAAATAAGCCAACAGTCTCCCACCTGACAGCAAGTGACACCTGCAAGGAGTGAAGCATCTCATCCGCGGGAGCCTGGAGGTGATGGGAACCTACAGCAAACGTGCTCGTGGCCCCTTTGGCCACTCAGCCCCTGGAGGTGGCCAGTGCCTGACCCTGTGCCTCTGAGCCTGCACATCCCGAGGTCAGCCAGCTGTGCTTTCCTTTGCTGACCATGATGGACACATCCCTGAGAGCAGAGCAGCTCCACCAGCAAGCATCCCCTCGCTGCCCGGCGCTGGGAGCGGAGCCCAGCCCCAGCCACTGCAGCCCCGCCCTCACCTTCTCGCGGAGCCGCTCCCTCAAGGCAGCCAGATGTGCTTCACGGATCTCCCTGCTCAGCTCCATCTTGTAGTTGAGCTTCTCCTCGGCCAGGCGGCTGAAGTTGTTGTTCTCCTCCAGGGCCTTGTGCAGCACCTCCCGCTCGTGCTCCCGCTTCTCGGCCAGCTGCTTCAGCACCTGCGCCTCCTGGGTCTGCCGGCAAGCACAGAGGCTCTGCTGGCCCTTCTCACCCCCTCCCCTGCTCCACACCCCGCTGCCAGCCCCCACCATCCCACTACGCTCCTGCCTGGCAGATGCCTGGACAGCTCCTCCTGCTCTGGGGCAACGCAGGTGACAGTTTTAGCCCCGGTGTCCTGCGTGTGGGCACAGGGTCCTCTCTCTGCCTGTCACCTCACCCTTTGAACTATTTCAGCTTTGTCTTCCTCACCCACCAACTTTCATCCTTTGTTTTACCCTGCTGGTTTTCTCCTTTTCAATAGTTTTGACCAGCAGACATTTTCTACAGCACCTCCAACAAAAGGTGGCACAGCTAGACACAAAGGCTGGGTTTGGGTTTGGAGTCTCAGGCTGGTGGGTGTCCAGCTGCTCCATCTCCTGCAGCAGCAGCTGGTGAGCACTGTCCCCACAGCCAGGTCACACACAGAGGACCAAGAGGACCTCGTACTGCAGGGGTTTAAGGACAGGAGGACAATGATGATCATGGAGTCCAACTCCCTGCCTAAACC